ACATTATAAACCTTGTTAAGCAAGAAATGATACCTGATATTGTGGTAGCCTGGCCTGGCAGGTACCTTAGTTTTCCGTAAACCCTGTTACTATTTCTTGATCCTCAAAATGTATGTTACTTGATGAAGTAAAGATCTTATTGATATACAGGCTTCTATGTACTATATACTGTATACATACTGAAATACATCAATCCCTCGCTTTTCCATGGGTGTACTGTTTTGTCAAACAAAACGTCTTGTACAGTATTGAGGCCACAACTGCAATACTTAATACATGGAACTGATGGTGAGTTCAGCACCAAGGAGAGGTCCACCCTGGGGCCTCCCACTTAACAAATAGGGGTATCCACAAGTTTGGGGATATAAACACTTGCTGTGGCAGAAGGTATCCTGATTGTTGGGTTTGGCACAGAAAATAAGTTCAAAATTGAGTGACGAGAATAAATAATTTTGATTGGTGGCGGAATGGTGATGGTTAATTATCGAGAGCAATAATGATTAATCTTGTTCGCACCCCTATGCAATTATCACACATGGTACAGCCCGTTTGACCACAGCTGGCAGGCAGCGCCATGCATTTCGTGCGGCGTGTTCTGTGTGAATTCTTTCCAAGTTTTGAGGTAGATTTTCGGCTTATTTCCGTCTAAAGTGTACAGTATATCGTCTGGACGTTTCCATGTCGGATGTGTGCCGTTCTTTGGATGTTTATGGGAGAAAATTCGTATTTTCCTGGCGCTAGCTGGCGGGTTTGGAGACAAGAAACAAAAATGGCGACTGCAATGGCGGCGTGGTGCTGAAAAAGATTCATTCTTGCGAGGTAAGACAGCAAATTAGCTCCTGTTTGTACTTCCAACAAACCTGTAGCAACAGACCACGTTAATTCGTTATTTTAATTAACTGTTATATTCCGTAGAACTTTGCGTTTTGTGGAACGATATGTCGCACCAAGGAGTTTCTTCCATCTCCTTGGTCGCACACAAATTATCGTGGGCCATTTTGTATTTCAAATAGGGAGGTTGTTTTCATGACTATCGTGGTTTTGGGGAACACTGAATATATTTCTTCCGTGTTGAGTGTCATTGAAAGAAAAGCTAGGAGAAAATTTCGCTGCTTAAAAACTGTTACAACACGTTTTTGTTGTTGGAAATTTCCACAGTTTGGCCCAGTGAACACCTTTTGGAACGTACCGCACGTGTGCATTATTAAACCCACTCAACGTTCCCGCCCAAAAAGTCGTGTAAACAAGACTTCCGAAGGCTAAAATTAACTGGGTGCACCCAAAATTAAATTTGTGCACAAGTGAAAATACATGTAGTTTATTTTCGGTTTTGTTGCTGGTTTATTCTTGCTTTTGAATCAGAGTTTGTCACATTGGTACTTGTATTTTACTGGATTTTATACTTCATTGCCAGATTATATCTGTTATTGATATATTTTGTATGAAGCAGTCACTGTGGTTGCACTGATTCTGATTTTGAGGATGAACAGTGCAATCTTGGTCCATAGTTATTGTATCATTTATATTATATGTCTTAGTACTTTGTCATTCTATTGTTTAATTGTATGCAACTGTGTCCGCCATTTTTGTGGATTTAATATGTATTTGTGTGTGTATATGTATATGTGACAGGGTAGTTTTTAATACAAGTATCCCATTCAATAAACAAATCACTATTATATAATAGAAACCTTTTTTTCCTTATGTAAGGAAGAATAGGGCGTATTCACATGATGTCATCACCCTTGCCCCCCCATGTGCCACCAATTCAATTTTCAATTCAATTTATTTATTTAACCAGTAAGGCCACACTGCCTTAATTCTATGGATGACATCCACGCGCGCGCAAAAAAAAAAAAGATCACGTCCACCAAGGCTCTGGCCTGGCTCTAGGCCTGGGTAGCCCATGGTACCTAGCGACAATATGGAGCCAGGTACCCAGGCTACCGAAGCTCCACGACTCAAGAACTCGGTACATACTGTACAGTGCCGATTTATAAATTCCGCAAAAAGCCAGCATGTCCCAGCTTGTACTGCCACTAAGTACTGCCGCAAATTCACATTACCAGCTTTGTATTCCTATGGTTTTGTAGCATTTATTTTTGGCCGGAATTTTTTTTTATTCGCCCGCGCGCACTAGTTTGGGGGTCTTCAGAGGATGTCATCCATAAAATTAAGTCGGTGTGGCCTAATTACAGCTCAGGCCATGTTGAGGTACATTCCAAACCCAGCAATGTTTTGACATGAAAGTCCATTGAAATTGTCACTTAAATGCATTTGTCTTCATCAAGAAGACTACGGAATCGGTCTGTTTTTTTGTGGGAGACGGTAGATTTAGCGGCATAACTCTTGAAGGTGTGGTTCGATGTTCATGATTTTTGGCAGGCAGGTTACAGTTGTGGAGACCAAGGCCATGTGCAAATTTTAATGTTGAGACTCAAGTTGAATTTGGTATAAAGTTGGTATGTTGTGTGACATAATTTCTTGCGAGCCAATTGCTGTTTTGATTTGATTTGATTTTGATTTTTGGGTTTTATTGAAATTGCAACAATGCAATACACGCGGAACAGAGGCAGCTGTTGCTGGTGTTGTGTCCCGCACATAGAAACGAATACTGGACAGACAATACTCATTTTCACTTGAGTGGAGAAAGTCGTGTAAAGTGCCTTTCCCAAGGGCACATGATCGGTGGCACGTCAGGACTCGAACCCGGGACCTCTTGATTCCGAGTCGCACACGCTGCCGTTGCGCCACACGACCCCACTGTTTTCTTAATACACTGACTTTTGTTTGTCCCATTTTCAAGGTGTGGACCCGAAGCCTAGTCTGAGTGGAAAGAAGAAGAAAACTTTTTGGACAGAGAAAGAAGATGGGGAGGTGTGAGTATGGTTTCTTGATTAACATGGGGCAACATGCTACATGCTGTCAGGTGCACACACACACTCGTATTTCTCTCTTTTGCCCAGTTCACTCTACTCTGAGGGTCGGCATGCCTTTTGTCCGTGGTCCGGACCGGACCTGAAGCCTGGTCTGAGCGGAAGGAAGAACCAAACTTTTATGGGCGGAGCTGTGCGAAAGAAGATGGGGAGGTGTGAGTATAGTTTCTTTCATTAACACAAGACAACACTCCACATGCCTTCAGGTGCACACATTTACACTTGTATTTCTCTCTTTTGCCCAGTTCAGTCTGCATGCCTTTCTTCCGTGAAGAGCCCTTTAACTTTTTAACTTTAACCGACAACTTTAATCCCATGTTAGGCGTCACAAAAAAATTCTTCATATCGTGTAGTTGAAAATGCCAAATTGCCCAAAAATTGTCACTTAAACCTTTTTTACACTTCTCTGGACATGTGGTTGATTGAAAGTTACGGCAAATAGCTGTTTTCGATGCGCTGACTTTTGTTTCTCTGTCTTAAAGATGACGTTGTGGATGATCCGGAGACCGGACTGTAGCAGGATGAAGGACCAGACTTAAGTCAGCAGATCTCAACCTGTGTAAAAGAAGAAGATGGGGAGGTGTGAGTATGTTTTCTTTATGAACACAAGACAACACTCCACTTGCACTCGCATTTCTCTTTTTTCGTGAGGAGGCCGCAAAAAAAACTGCCAAATTGCCCCCAAAATTGTCGCTTAAGACCTTTCTTCACACTTCAATTCTCCCACCAAAAAAATGCCAAATTGCCGCCAATTAAATTTGTTGCTTTATACCTTTTTTCACACTTCAATTCTCCCGCAAAAACACTGCCAAATTGCCCCAAAAATTGTTGATTTAGACCTTTTTTTCACACTTCAATTCTCCCCCCCCCAAAAAAAAACTGCCAAATTGCCCCCACGTCAATTCCACACTCATACCTTGATAAGTCCATTTTCCCGCCAAAAAAAACTAATTGGCACCCTCACCTGGCTAATTAATTGGATTAAAGTTTTCCCGCCAAAAAACTTAGTATATGGCTCACTCCAACCTTGAACTTGTGGCCCCCCTCCCCACACTTACACTCTGTTACAACTCACACACTATTCCAACACATTGGACACATAACTTCTCCAGTAGTCACCACACTCTGCTACCCAAACACTTAGTTGATCGAGTGCAGTTTTTTCCGCCACTGACTTTAGAATGGTTCCTCTCCTGTTCAGTCTATTGCACTGGTATACTGATGTGTCGAAGCATCAATGTCTCCGGAAAGACATCCCGCGGGGAGTACACTTAGTGCATTGACTGAACAGGAGAGAGAGCGACCATTCTAAAGTCAGTGGCAGAAAAAATTGCACTCGATCAACTAAGTGTTTGGGTAGCAGAGTGTGGAGACTGCATGTTTGGAGAAGTTACGTGTCCAATGTGTTGGAATAGTGTGACTAACATACTGTGTGAGTTGTAACAGAGTGTAAGTGTGGGGAGGGGGGCACAAGTTCAAGGTTGGAGTGAGCCATATACTAAGTTTTTGGCGGGAAAACTTTAATCCAATTAATTAACCAGGTGAGGGTGCCAATTAGTTTTTTTGGCGGGAAAATGGAC